ATAGATAGATAGATAGATAGATAGATAGATATATTTTATAATTTAAAAAAGAACTAATATTCAGTGAGCGGATGAATGTGTGTCTGGATGGCAGAAGGGAGTCAGTCGGACTGAAGTGCAGTGTGTTGGTGGTGTCGTGAATGAGAGCCGAGAAAACCATTGGCTTCACCGCTCCCTATGCTGCTGAAGTCTGTGACTGACACCGCCATTGTGGCCCCTGTAATGCGATGTGTGCGTCTGCCTTCGAAATCCACACCCAGGTTAGTAACAGACACGTCGTTAATGAAGGGCTCCGAAAAGTCCATCTTGAGCCTCTTAGAGGGCCGTTCGCAGTCTTTGGTGCTGCACACGCTGATCTGGCTCAGGTCTGAGCGATAGAAGCCGGAATCCAGCATGTTGAGGCAGCCGCTGTCTCTGTTTGTGGCATAGCTGAGCTGATCATCATGGTTCAGGGCTCCTCTGTGTAAACGCTCCAGAGGGGGGAAGTACGGGGAGTCTAAACAGCTTATGTCTCCTGGACCATTGCACACAGTTGCTACGCTGTTACTAATGGCTGCAAGAACAAGTAGGGGTAAAGAAAGCAATTTCGTGATATGTTTGAGGAAAAAACAGGGATGTATGACAAAAAAAAACCTTGCCGATATTCATTAAAACTGTTTCCTACAGAATAATTTGGGGAAAATTAATGTTTACATTTTTTATTGAAATGAAGATGAAAATAAGTGAGCTAAATCAATAGTTCCCCCACTAAAATGAACATTTGTTGAAACTTTACTCACTCTCAGGCCATGTAAATTAGTTTGTTTCTTCATCAAAAGAGATTTGGAGAAATTTAGCATTACATCATTTGCTTACCAATGGATCCTCTGCAGTGACTGGGTGCCGTCAGAACGAGAGTTCGAACAGCTGATAAAAACATTGCGATAATCTAACACTTCTTCCAGTTAAAAAGTCCATCCTCTTATATCAAAATCCACCAACATATTTGTTTGTTTTGGTCTGTTTTTACTTGTAAAGGGTGCTTGATCTGTGCACATTTCTCTCCTGATTAAGTCAAGCTGGCTTTTTTTTTTTTTTTTACTGTTGAAAACACTATTATGGCTAGAGGATTCATCTGAAGTTACATGATGGATTAGTTTCTTACAAACAGCTTTTTACTTCACATGATGTTAATTGATGGATTGGAGTTGTATGGATTACTTGTGGGTCACTGTGATGTTTTTATCAGCTGTTTGGACTCTCGTTCTGATGGCACCCATTCACTGCAAAGTGAATATCCACGGGCGTTGTAGATAATCCGCGGGTCGGGTGGGTCAGGCAATAAAAAAATCCATTCTCATTAATTACGGGTGGGTCGCAGGTGGATGAGATAAATCATTAATGATGCAAATATTAACTACATTCTCTAAAATATTAACGTGTTTTAAATGCATTTTTTCCATCAGGCAGACAGACACACGTGTGTGTGTGTTCTGTTCAGGAAGTTGCAGTGACAGAAACAGTGACATTCCATGCAAGTTTGAAGGGAGTAAAGCCTGTGTTTATGCTATTAAGAAAGTGTAGGCTAATCTGGCCAAAGAAGATCTTTTGATTTAAAAATAAATGTTCATTTAAAAGCAGTCTACGATCAGCATATTATGTTATTGTTACCGTTACCCCTTACGGCTCTGACAAGGTTTTTTCCGTCCTCCACGTGGTGCCAACTCACACCAGGAGCGGAGCAACTGGATTCGCGAGACCACAAGATTTGACTGTCCGACCTTGTTTTTCTTGATTTTCCATGTTTTTCTTGATTTTTGGGGTTCTACCATAGGTTAGTTGGCTGAATGGTTATGTTTTGTCTGATTTAATTGTGTTTAATGCTATGTCCTATTTTTTTGTGCTGTAGCCTACAGACAAAGTTAATACACTTAAAAGTCTAGTTATGAACGACAAGGATAAAAGATTTGTAGCGTTTTTTTAGTCGTTTAAAATACATCCTCAATTATCTAATTATGTGCGGCTTGGACACGGCATCCATCAAAAATAAATTAGGTGCCTATCTTTAGCGAAGCAGCACAGAGAGCCGCTTCTGAAACGTGAGGTCACTGGTATAAACACAAACATTGACTAGAGTGGCTGCGATCAGCTCTTGTGGATGTGTTGGAGCCGTAATGTGCCGCAGACATGTGCAGTGATGTGCAGATCAGCTCTAAATTGAATCTGAATCTGCTGTTAAAAATGAACCATCCATTCATCATATCATGCCGAACCAAGAATTAGAATCTTTGTAATGTGATGATCGGTTGCAGGTGCGGGTCGAGGCGGATATCTAAATCAGAGAAAAATATAGGTGCGGGTGGGTGGATAATTTATTTATAGCAGAGGATTCGGGTGACGTTTGAGCTGATCCGCGCATCTCTACTGCAGATAGGGATGGGTATCGTTAAGGTTTTAACGGTATTACTACTCTTACAGATACTGCTTATCGATTCGGTACTTTAACGGTATTCTTATCGGTACTTTTTGTTTTATATATATAATGACAAATTAAGAGCTGAATTAACATTGGTTTATATTCTGAAATGTAAAATAAATATTTAATGAAATGAATATAAAACATCGCCACAGGCCTAAAGTGTAAGCAGATGTTTGAATGTTTAGTTCTCTCTGCTATCATAATTAAACAGGGCTTTCATGTTGCGCGTGCTGAAGCTCCTCCGCGTGGGCGCGATCTCGCTTCTGAATTGCGAATAGCAAAAATGCATCATAGACAAATGTTTGAAAAGTAGCTGGCGACTCTGGAGAGATAGAATTTGCAAGATAATGTGTATATATAGCAATAATAAATGTATGTGTGTTTTATTAATTTTTCCAGTACCGATAGCAGAACCGTTAACGTCAGAGCTTATCGATACTCCGGTCTTTCATAATTTAGCCCCGGGACCGATTAAATACCGGGTTTCGGTACCCATCCCTAACTGCAGAGGATTCATTGTTGATTCATTGTTATTTGTGAAGTAATGCTAAATTTCTCCAAATCTGTTCTGATGAAGAAACAAACTCATCTACATCTTAGATGGCCTGAGGGTGAGTACATTTTCAGCAAATTTTAATTTCTGAGTGAACGATTCCTTTCAATTCCAAAGGATTCAAACAGATTACTTTTCATGTTTTTAAGTGATTCAATAAAAGAACTGGTTCATAAGAATCATTTCTTCATGAATCAAGACTACTGTGGCAGCTGAGCTCACCTGTGAGGTCACTGGCAGTGATGGCTGAAGCTCCTCCGCGTGGGCGCGATCTCGCTTCTGAATTGCGAATAGCAAAAATGCATCATAGACAAATGTTTGAAAAGTAGCTGGCGACTCTGGAGAGATAGAATTTGCAAGATAATGTGTATATATAGCAATAATAAATGTATGTGTGTTTTATTAATTTTTCCAGTACCGATAGCAGAACCGTTAACGTCAGAGCTTATCGATACTCCGGTCTTTCATAATTTAGCCCCGGGACCGATTAAATACCGGGTTTCGGTACCCATCCCTAACTGCAGAGGATTCATTGTTGATTCATTGTTATTTGTGAAGTAATGCTAAATTTCTCCAAATCTGTTCTGATGAAGAAACAAACTCATCTACATCTTAGATGGCCTGAGGGTGAGTACATTTTCAGCAAATTTTAATTTCTGAGTGAACGATTCCTTTCAATTCCAAAGGATTCAAACAGATTACTTTTCATGTTTTTAAGTGATTCAATAAAAGAACTGGTTCATAAGAATCATTTCTTCATGAATCAAGACTACTGTGGCAGCTGAGCTCACCTGTGAGGTCACTGGCAGTGATGGAGTTGAGCAGTCCGAGCTGTTGCTCTGCCGATGCCTCCATCCTTCCCCCTTCTCCTGCTGAACACACCGATGACGAGCTGTCCACCGCCAGACCCTCTGCCTCATCCACCAGCCTGTCCATCAGGTCTCTAAGGAGGAAGCCAACACAGTTGAGTTCAACACTTTAATTCAAACACAGGCACAAGGACCAATAATTACACATCCCAGTACTTACGTCACCCCAGGGTAACAACTGTACTTCTTCTTGCCAAATCGGTTCTGTTGAGCAAAGTAATCAAAACGTTCTGACTTTTTCCACATATAATAAAAAGCCACACATTCTGCTACAGTCCGTGTCTGAACCTGAAAAGAAAAAACGAAAGCAATGAGAATACAGACATTCACAAGACAAACAAGATAAAGGTGAAGTGTGTATAGGGTTGGGTACTGAAGCCCAGTATGATCGGTATGTACCAGACCGAATCAGAACGCAGATTACAGTGCCTCATTTAGGTGCCACTTATATGCCTGAGCTGTTGATTGAAATATTTGCCCTCTGGTGCTTGAAACGGACATGAGAAGCATCATCACCGCACCTTATCACTAGTTAGATTATGCTGCATTCATGTGGTGTCAGAATAATAGTGATGTCTGGTTCGCGAACAAATCATTCTATTGAACCGATTCTTTTTAGTGAACCGGTCAGACCAGTTCACCAAATCGGACTGAATCGTTTGAAAAAGTCCGCGTCTCCAGTAAGCACTAATCCACAAATTACTTAAGTTATTACATTTTTTTAACGTGTCTGACAATCCCTCTGAATCTAATGGCGCTTTTCCACTGCATGGTACGGCACGGTACGGCTCGGTACGGTTCACTTTTGGGGGGTTTTCCACTGGGTACAGTACCTGGTACCTGATACTTTTTTTTAGTACCACCTCGGTTGGGGTTCCAAGTGAACCGTACCGTTACCAAAACGTGACGTGTAAACTCTGCTGATCACGGATTGGCCGGAGAGAATCGTCCCGTACTGAACCGTGCCGAGCCGAGTCGTACCACATAGTGGAAAAGCACCATAAATAAACCAATATCCCATAAACCAGTACACTGACTGAACTGCTGTGAAAAGAGAACAGATGATGAGCACAAGCAGAGCAGCTGATATACTGAGCATGCATACAGCCATGAACTAACGAACGAGCAAAAGAAACATTTTTTAAGTTAATCTATTTTTTTTTAAAGGTGAATGTATCTGTGTCTTAAAGGACTTTGTGTTTAGTTGAGGATTCTGTTAGGTTATAGGCTAAAAGGTTTTTTTTATGAGACACTATGTTTAATAGGAAACAAGGGATGATTTATAAAATACCTGTAATGTAATTATAGTTAATGATGACACATACACAAATTGAGTTTGTATTAAATAAACAACATGCTCCTTGTGAATCACTCTCACGGTTCTCGAATCTCAATCTCATTCCCGAGTCAAGAATCGGTTGCAACGCTTTTCGGATCACCAGTACACTGAACCAAGAACTGTTTCTTTTGGGCACATCCAATTTGAGAACCGATGAGCAGATGATACTGCGCATATGTGATTCAGCTTGAAGATACCGAACAGTACATGACTGCCTACTATGACTGACTGTGACACAGCACCATCTGAACAGAACTAGTTCTTTTGGACAACTGACGCTGTGCTAATTCTATGAGCACAAGGACTTGAATGAGGGGACCAATCTGGCGAAACATACGTTTATTTAATAATAAATAAATCATAATGGATTATGAATAGTAAGCGGATCATGGTTTCTTCGCTGATGAGGACTAATTTATTTACTTTATATCTTCAAGATTTGTATAACATCCCCCTTTGCCCATCACTGCCTGTACCTGTATTTGGGTGCATTAGTTGCAAAAATTAATTGTAAGAAACTTATCAGATCATAATGATGATGTTTTAACTGACTGAAGTTATGATTACTGACTTTATATTTTTGAATGTGTTGAGTGCATTTTCATCCCGGCCCGGGACAATAGACCTGACATCATTACGTCATTGTGAATGACATCATTACGTTAGGGCATAAAAGAACCGGTGAACGGGTTTTTTGAACCAGTTCATTGAAACGAACTGTCCGAAAGAACTGGTTCGCAGAAATAAATCGGACTTCTCATCACTACCAAAAAATTTGAAAAGTAATTTCTGAGAACATTCACGTGAATGCAAGTTGGAAAACTCTGATAAAACCAATCCAACACATCTTTGTAGTAACGTTAGTGCTTAAATTAAAATGCCTAAAGCTAAACTTCCCTTGTATTGACTTGCAATGAGAAGCGTTTCTAAACCTGTTGTCCAACAAAAGAGAACATTATAACATGTTTTTTCTCCACAACATCAGTCAAACGCTTCCTTTTGTGATCAGATGTGGCTTCTTATCACAGAATGAGGCAGAAAATATATTCTACTATATAAAAAAAGACGATTAGCAATGGATTATAAATATACTTGCATATTGGCTTGAAGAACACAGATAAACCATATATTGTCACAGTCAAGTGTTTATTGTCTTCATGTTTCATCATTCAAAATGTTTCTATCTTCCTTTTACTCAGCTCCAGTGATATTTGGATATCTTTATCCAGATTAGGGATTTCCTGGAGCATCATGAGTTCTATTACTTCTGTGAAAGTGCCCTCCAGCTTCCAGTATGAATGAAACAGATATTACATGTGTTTATAGCACTCAATAATGGCCAGTCCATCCTATTTTGGGTAAAAATAGGAAAACTAATACTTCTCTCAAAAGAAATTTGAAGTAGACACATGACAATCCATGTTTTTCTCCTGTGTTCAGGAGGGGTTTTTTTTAAATCACATTTTAAATCGCAAATCAGAAAAAGCACTCCGATGTGCCAACCGTGGTAAAAAAAAACTGAGGTATGTATTGAACCATGGGCTAACTGTATTGTTGCATCCCTACCAAGGATACCAACTACTTTGCTGTTATTAGTACTGTAACTGTTATTTAGTGTTAATGTTAAATTACTGTAGTTGGGCTGGATGGCTTAGGTTTTATTGTGAATTTTTCATGTTAATTTGCTGTGTTTTGTATTTATTTATATTTTCCAGTATACTTTAAACTTTTAATACATTGTTCAATTTAAAGTTGTTGTTGCTGTTGTTGTTCTTCTTCTTCAATAAAACAGTCATTCTTTAATGTCATCCACTGTCATTTTGTGACGCTCTTTTTTTTTTTAAGTATCGGTTCAGGCACCGGTATGGTTTTAAAAACATTTATTTGGCACCGGTATCGAAAAAAAAACAAGCGATACCCAACCCTAAGTGTGTGACGTGTAACCAAAGTGTAACAAAACAGAATTGTGCAAAAATATTTTGACAGTTTCCTCTGCATACTAATTTATGCATATTTTTTGTATTAATATGGTAACACTTTACAATAAGGTTCATTAATTAACATTAGTTAACTACTTTAGTTAGCATGAACTAAGAATGAACAATACTTCTACAGCATTTATTAATCTTAGTTAATGTTAATTTCAACATTTACTAATGCATTATTAAAATCTAAATTTGTGCTTGTTAACATTAGTTAATGCACTGTGAATTAATATGAACTAACAATGAACAACTGTATTTTCATTAACTAACATTAACAGATTAATAAATATTGTAATAAATGTATTGTTCATAGTTTGTTCATGTTAGTTAGTACATTAACTAACATTAACTAATGGAACCTTATTTTAAAGTGTTACCATTAATGTAATATTAATATAAAATTACATATTTTAGTCTAAAAAAAACTTAGATAACTACACCACCGTCCAAAAGTTTGATAAAATAAATTACATTTTAAAATATTAAATTAGAAAACCGTTCTTTTTTTTTGTAGTAAATTTTCACAATATTCCTGCTTTTACTGTATTTTTATTATTGAATAAATGCAGCTTTGGTGAGGGTAAGAGACTTAAAAAAATCATATTTAAAAAAAGTCACCAAACCCAAATTTTGAATGGTAGTGTAAAAAACAACAACAGCATTGGCAACAAGTAATACTTCCTTCCAGTTGATGAAGCCAGTGGAAAAGACAACATAATTTACTTGCCTTATGTTTCTGAATAAGATGGAAGTTTTTCTCATAAATCTGCAGCGCATGTTCAAAGTTCCTACATTCATCCTCCGACCACGGTGGGGATTCTTCTATCGAAACAACATAAAGAGAAGTGAACATTTATGCATTACAAGTACAAAAATTTCAAGCTGGTCTTGTACTGAACAGCCTACCTTTCGAAGTCTTCACATTACTGCGGTATCGCGTCAGTGCCTCACAAGTGTCGTAATTACATTTCAAAAGCTCCAACAAGGCCTCGAAAGGAGGTCATAGAAAAAAATGCAATTAAAACAATAGCAGCAGCTCTCACATGGGCAAAAGATTTTCACATTAATTATATTAATTAATGAGAATATTTAGAGAGCACATACCTGTTCGTTATCTCGTATGTGTTCAAATGTGGAATTCTCTGTGCTGTCATCTGTAGACTGTGACAGCACTTCTCTGAGGTAGTCTTTCACTTTACACTCTGACAGCACATCAGGACACCACAGCAGCTGATCTTCCTCCTCGTACACTTTAAACAACACACATTTAAAATGGTCATGATTGCAGTGATCATTTTAATTACAGTTAATTTAAGTTAAAAAGTCACACCAAGCAATTTAAATAAAACACTCACCTTTTTCATCATCATTATAATTGCTGAGCCCCATTGGAACTTCTGCTTGATACTGAGATCCGACCATTATTTCCTGTGTTTTAGAGCAAGAACCAATAATAAAAGACTTAATTTAATTATCAAAAAGTAAGACTTTTTTTTAAAGAAGATAATACTTTTATTCGGCAAATATGCATTAAGCTGATTAAAAGTGACAGTAAAAATATTCATATTGTACAAAAGACTTCTATTTCAAATAAATACTGTTCTTTTTAACTTTCTATTCATCAAAGAATGCTGAAACAAAAAATGTATCATGGTTTCCACAAAACTGTTTTTAACACAAATCAGCATATTAGGATAATATCTGAAGGATCATGTGACACTGTAGATTGGAGTAAACGTGACACTCAAGACTGCTGAAAATCACAGGAACAAACTACATTTTAAAATATATTAAAATAGAAAACAGTCATTTTATTTCATTTTATTTGCAATAATATTTCATAATATTTAAATATTGAAATATTGCATTTTGACCAAATAAATGCAACCTTGGTGAGCAAACGAGACTTTTTCAAAAACATTAAAAAAACTTAACCCCAAACTTTTGCACAGTAGTATAACAGAAGGGGTCAGGTCATCAGCAGAGGACTGGGTCTCCTCCTCATAATCTCCTGACAAGAGATCTTTCGCTATCTCCTCCTGCAACAGAACACCATTAGTGATTTTATCTTGTTGACAATTTCCCCTAGCACTGAAGCAAAATCATGTCAATTACCTTATCCAGGGTCATGTCAGGCAGATCATCAGCTAGTTCAACAGAGGAACTGTCCATGCTAGATCCCGCCCCTGTACTGACTGGTGCCTCATAACGATACATAGCCAACAACTCCTCGATCGGCATATTCCCCTCCTATCCATGTTAAAAAAAAGAAATGTGTTACAAAGCAGAAATATGGCCCTAATTATCCAGAGATTGGAACACAATGCATACAGTTTTTAATGAGGAAAAAAAGTGGATTGTTATTAATGCATGTTACCCTCTCCAGGTCTGACAATTCTGCACTGAAATTCTTCTCTCCCTCCAAAAGCGCTTCCTCCTCCAAAGTTCTCTCA